CCGGTTTACAATGAAACCATCAGTTTGATGTGTTGAAGTTGATGTAAGTTTGAAATTACATCAGGGTCGGTATATGCATATCGAGCAAAATGGTGTGCGGGTCAAAAACTCTCGATGAATTGATCAACTGTTGCCCGACTTGAAATTTCCCGTAAACAGAAGGGGCATTGAAAATATGAATTAAAAAAAAATGACCTGTCTGCTATCCTGTCGACGGCATGATTTAGGATCGGGCAGTGGAAACTCGACAACAGAGCACCTGCTCAGAGCATTTATACGGAAACATGTCTTCAAATGGATTGCATCGCAGCAATACAAGAAGATACTGGCTGCCGAGCACTTCTTATATTGCTAAGAGTCTATTTGTTTGTATAGGCTTTAGCCCGTGTTAAACTGAGCTACTAGGTATGTGCTTCCCGATGAGCGATGGGCTATCGGGAACCAGCGCCACATCTGAGCCAGCGATGACAGCCCACAAGTTCGCTCTGATCCTGTTTATTGCTTAGGGTGCAGTTTGGCAAATCCCGCGGGGGGAAAACGTCACCTTGAAGTCTCTGTTTTGGACATTTCTTCAAACTGTATAGAGAGATAACAACGCCAGAAACCTCTGCGTTTGCTCTAGAAAAGACTGTTTTAGTTAATGTTCCATTTGAAAGACATATCTGAGCTCATTTCCACGAGCTGATTTAGATGCGTGGCTGACATCACGGACACACACTGGATCGTTTTCTGGTCAGTGTAGGGGTACTTATTTTTTTTAGAAAATGCTTTTGTAAAATTTGTTTCATTTTTCAAATGATTTTTAATGATGCACACAAACGCTATAAAGTAAACAATGCAATTAAGGAAAGATTCGAAACTAAATACCTCCATAATGATGTAAATAAAACTGTTTCAAGCTTCCTGTTTCCGGACTTGAAGATGTACCCCTCCACCGAGCACCAAATGGTGCATGTATGTTTAATCAACATGGGGCTCATTAAACAGCTCATCTGAAATATGAAAAATGTGTAGGTCTAGTCCCTTACATTTTTGGGGTTCAAGGTGTGTGTGAGAGGGGTGGGGGACAAACGATACCGGTATGATACCCCTCCCCCTCTAAAAAAAAAAGGGGGGACATGCCCCCCGTCCCCCGTCGATTGACGCCCATCATCATGTAACAAAACGAAGGACATTATGGTTTGCATTCCTTTTTTTATAAGCAATTATCTCCCCTCAGACACGTGTTTTCCACACCGATACCTCTTCGAAAGCTCAAGTACTTCATAGACTGTAGGGCTATTCCTTTTCGCAGGAATCGCTGAGCAAGTGGTGTAAGTAGTTTTATCCCCCCCCCAGTTTTACATGTTGTTGATTTGTCACTCAGCTGTTATAGAGCTGTATGCGAGGGACTATCGAGCGGCAAAGATTGAGGCAAACTCTCTTTGGCAGGTGATGAGAGGGGGGATAACCCTGTGGGTCCAGGTTTGTCGCGAGAGGGCTTTATCGCTTAATACGCCACCAGGGACCCACCAAATCACGTCTTGCTTCACTAGCCGAAAGGTGCCGACACGTATAGCAGACTGTGACAGAGAGGCAGGGTACAAGATGATAGATCGAAGGGGTTTCCACGCAAAAAAAATCATAAAATAACACTCAAGAAAAATCCTAAGCCAAAAAAAAGTCAAATGGACAGATGCGTCTCACTGCAAAATGTCATGGTATAAACAGAAAGGGCTGGTGTCAATTTCAATTTTCGCCAACCCATAAAGTGTGCAAATTAATATTTGACAAATTGTAAGGAAAATGAACAATTCTTTCATTAAAAATAACACGCATCTGGTAAAACTAAGTTTACCCAAATGTTGTGGTTCTGCCCTTACACCGGAGTAAGTCCAATTCATTACGGTATACTGAGTTTTGTCCAAGAACTTGCAAATAAAAATTCACAAGCTTGCCTGGGTTGGACTTGAACCAACGACCTTCTGTTTACTACAATGCAAAACGTCTTAACCTCTTCAAGTCGGATGTAAGCGGGAACCACAATCAGCTGTTTCATTTGGGTGTAACGACAAGATCCAAGATTAAAACTAAACACTTACCCGACGGAAAGAAATTGTTTGGAAATAACTGTTATTTTTGAAAGCTCTAGGTGAAATCATAGACTCATTTGAGCGCAGGGTATAAAAAAAATCAGGAGATTAAAAAGTACGAGAAAAAATGCAGTTGAAAAGTCAGACATAATGCCTACAGCAAGAGTGATGAACATGGCTGAACTCAACAGAAGACAAAAATAATAAAAAATTCTTCATTCTCTATTAAATTTGTGAAAATCTGAACATTGGGCGTACCTATTCATTATTTGGGACCGTTTTCAAACAATTTTAGCGTACACTTGGGAGTAAATAATTAGCGAACAATTTATTTATTTCAAAACATTCTAATATAGATTTATTTGTTCGTGCAGAGGAGACTTACAGACCAATTACAGCTGCTCTGTCAAACTCTGAAGCTAAATTGTGATTGCTTCGTAATTTTTTTTTCCAATTCAATTTTAGGTATGTTTTGCCGTTGGTATGAGTCACTGATTAACAAACAACAAACTACTTTCTCAGCGTGTTTGGTTGAGGGGGTGGACAAGTTCATCTAAATTTCAATGTCACCGCGTCAACTGGCAAAATCGTCGTGATCGACATCGCGACGGTGTCTGTCAGCGACTCGGTGATTTATTCACTTCGTCCCAACACACATGCCGAGTTGTGGGTACTGTCCTCAACACATCGCCCGATAAGAAACGCGCTCAATTTGTCTGCTTGGCCCGGGACCGTCGTACGCGCTCAACCTACTCGCTTGTCACCACGGGGCACCCACCACAATATTTACCGGGCCTTTCGAGTGAAAAGGGTCTTGTGTCATAAGCTGTCAGTAAATGGCGTGGTGCGGTGCATGTACAAGACCAGTGCAGGTTCTGCGGCGACCCAGTTATCTCCCAGAGTTCACTGTATTGAGCTGTCATCCGCTTCACCCACCAGACGAGCAGATTGCCGCCTTGTTTAATCAACGGTTGAACCCATGACTTTCTAAATACTCAACTTTCGTTGGCAGCCTTGACGTCACGATTTCAGTGCCTTAACAACGGAGTAAAATCGTATGACGACTCACAGTTCAAATTCCAGGGCGCATGGAATATCGAATCCGCAAACATGAGTGCAAAGTTAGTAGCGTGGTTTCGCTTAAAGGAATGAGCATTTAATGCAGCCCGGGAAATCATGGAAGGCGAAGTGGAAACGAGATTGGCATATTACACGAAACCAACCAACGGAAACTGCAATAAAGTGATCCCCGTAAAAGAACGGATCTAGAGTAGGCCTATTATACTCAGTCAATGGATTTCATCATGTAAGCGAAGTAGCCTGTTTTTAACGACTCACTCTACTTCCGAGGCTCTCAAATCTCAGACTTTGGAGAGATTCAACTCGATTTATTCGTCCGTAGTATTTTTGCTCCCTTTCCTTCTGCCGTGCACGTGACCAACAGGGTAAAGCGCCCTCAATGGTGCGTCCACGATCGAATAGTTCTGTGGAGCCGTATTAGGCGTTGTCAGATTATCCGTAGACCTACAGCTGCTGATTCCTATAGATCACATAGGAGTCTGCGTTGTATATTGTAACAATTTATCAACCAGGAGTAAACAGCCCCCCTAAATGGTCCAAACGGGTAAAAACCGCACTAAACAAAACACCGACGGTGATTATAGCGCAGGCATTTATCAAAGATGATGAATTGTTTTTGTTTTTATCAAAAAGGAATACACGCTGACCTCAAACTATGCGGATAATTACACAATTTTTCTCGCGAGCAATTTACTACTTGAAACAACGAAGGCGAGGCAGGTGGACGTGATGGAGGGGAGGGGGGGAGAATGTTGAGAAATAATTTTAAAAGAAGCCACGCCAAGCACAAAGGTATAGCTAAAAGAAACATGAGGAATGTTTACGATGACGAAGGCAAGACCGTCATGCCATACAAGCATGTTTGCGCTTCAGGGCTCAAGTCTTCGGGATTTGAGTTGGCAGCTCCCATAATACCCAGGGTCAATTGGTTTGCCCCCTCAGATGCGTAAGGCTGATAAACCAACCGATGAAAGCCCTCCAATCTTTTCTCACTAATTTTTATTGAATTTGTGAAGTTTATTCGTCAGTTTTAATTATAAAGGTTATTGCGTTTGTATCCTTTTGATTCGGCTCGAAGCGCCCATCAATCAAAAAAAAAATTGAAGTGAAACAGTCATGGTTGTTGGTACTAGGACTCTACCGATTTCACGGAAAGATTATGTTATTGCAGTACTGCAATGTTACGTTGCAGTTCCTTAAAGTAGTATCTGCATGGAGCATCGCTTTTAGTCGAAACTTTAAGACGGCCTTCATAGAGCTTTAAAAATTGAGGCAAATAAACCAAGGTAGTGCAACCTGATTGATGATGGCTGCTTACCAGATTTGTCCCAGCTCGAAAGGACCGTCTGGTCATGACATTTGGTAAGCCTGTCACTTCAAATTAACTGACAAAATTCAAGTGAATTTAAAACCAATAGTAAGATCAAAACCTGAATCTTTCAGCAAACTTTCTTTGCCAAAATTCTATTACGAATGAAAACGTATACGAATACCTGCACAGAAAATTTTGTTCGCACACAATTCAGATGGATTCAAAATAATAGGAATTGGCGTTTACTCTATACCGAATTTTACTGATTCATTGTTTGAGAAGAATATCTTAACAATGAAGCTGTCAACAAAGTGAAAAAAAATGAATAAAACCAATTTATACCCAGCAAGAAATGAGACCGAGGGGAACCTCCCCCCACATGTCCAGTCGCTATACACACTCTAGACTATTGTTACCTAACACACCCCCCCTAGATGTGTAAAAAGAACTCCTCAGATTCAACTGAGATAATGACCGACACAAAGCTGGGGGGGGTCTCTGTCTCATATCTTGCCTCATATGGTTTGACGACCTACCTTACAATGGCCAGAGTTATTCAAAGGAGACCTCCACTGCGTCTTTGCCAGACGTTCCAAGTCAACCATTCCATACAGCTCGTCGGCTCCTTCGTCTACGATCTGAACAAGGAACGATCAACGGATGGGTATAAATACTAGACGAGAGCAGACCGGCCGATTGCGAGAGTCGGACCACGCACTTGCGAGCTGACGGACACGCCGCGAAAGCTGGGCATCTTCACCTGTCTCGGAAGAAAGAAAAAGGTGGAGGGTAAAAAAAGGAAAAAAAAAAAAAAAAGAATCCCGTGACTTTCAAAAGTCTGCTTGTAAACAGCTGAGGATCAGGGCAGGCAAAGTCTTTAAGCTCATTGATGATCGGAGACTGAGGCCTAACCCTCGTCTGTACAGCCTGGGGCCACGTCAGTCACAACCCCCCAAAACCTAAGGCTTTATTGAGGGGGAAAGAAAGTCAGTGAGATTGAGAGAGAGAAAAAAAAATCATATCCTTCTCAATCTGGATTGGAGACTTTGAATGACACCTCCCTAGCTTGGGCCAGGCCGCACCCTCTTGTTGCACGCGCACGATAAAGCCGACAAGAAGCCTTTCACAGGCTAGATATTATATCGCAAAGTGTACACAGAGTTCAGCGTTGCCAAAGCCGTTGCTGACAGGTCAAAAAGTGAGATGTTGAAGCGAGTCGGAAGTCTATTGACTGACGGGGGGCTCGTTGCCTTCCCCCCCGGTGAATTCCAGCTTTGACCGCGCTGACAGAAAAGACTTCTCGGAAATATCACGCTGAATTTGTATCTGTACATGCATGAAACGAAAGGCAGATTGGGGATTCTTAAGCGCCTGAAGTGCGTTTAAAATCTCCAAACTGAAGTCGTCGTCCATTTTCATCCCCTTCTGGTAGACCTTTTAGTTGAATCAAGCAAAAGAAAACCAATTCTGACCAATCGGCATCCCCAGGCGCTGATGCAAGGCCACTTCCGACTGTACGGGTACGGCCAGAATTCACTGGCTGTAGTGGCGAAGGCTTCTCCCATAAGCACGCGCGTTACTCCTCCTAGCCGCAGCCACTTCATCCTGGACACAGCCCAAACATTTAGACTGGTGCCAAGGAGGGTGCAGTCTCCACGCCGCAACCCTTGTGCAGTGGCGTGGCACCAATTTTTCCTCCAAGTGCACTTCGCATTTTGCGACAAAGCTAGCACGGTATGAGGTACGCACTGCATCACAAAAGGGCAAACATAAATCATCGACATCATTTCCACAGGTAAAATATTGCGACAACAATCATCAGCCTAAATATGCAAAACACAGTGGGTCCAAGTGCTGTGATTCCCCTTAAAGACAGAGTGTGAAGAATTACCATTGCGACCACACTACGCATCCGGTGCTTTGCTTGGCTTCGAGTGGCGTTTGAGCTGCCAAACAGTGCTAAGTGCGGTGGTTCAAAATCCACTTATTAAATTCTCAACCCTTGCAAGTCGTTGTGAAAGGTCTTGAAGCCCTTCAACGAAGAATAAGTCATCTTGCTAGCAAGAAAAAAGACCTTTATCTGACGCTTTTCACAATGAGAAGGAATCATTGAGCTAAGCTAATGTGTAGGAGGAATCCGCATACCCTTCCTTCGCTTTTAGGAAAACTACCCATAGATTATAAAATCATGGCTGACAATCTAAACCACTTTGATTTCCAACCAAGAATTTCCAGCCGCGTGCCTCAATTTTCCATCACCCCCCCCAAAAAAAATGACACCTTTCAATAATAAAGCTAATTCCGCCGCAGGTGGGACTTAAACTCGAGACCCGCAGCACTTTCCACTGACAACGGCCTCGATCAAACTGTCACGCCCCTGTCGTCTCAGATCGACACCTTTCCTATCAAGCCGAACAGTGTACCAGTGTGGCCGTCAAACCGCAGCACTGTACCGTAAAACCAAGCCGCAAAATCCCACCAGATTACTTCTTCATGTGTCTGCCTTTCCTCACGGCCGCTCAGACCCGAAGAAACATTACAGTCAAACCGTTGCCACGAATTTCTTTAAAGACACGCCCCAAATCAGTTAGGCCTATATATGTCTTCTGCCTGAAAGAAACCGTAAACCATTGACGAATCCAAATGGCTAAATAACTTGTGAAAGATTCTCTTGATTCAAGCCCCACCTCAGAGGTTTAGATTTTGTTGCCACGTCAACCCGTTCGGATACACCTGGTGTAATCAACAAGTCACTTCAGCGTAGTTTCATAAATAACTTCTGAGAGATAAAAACAAAAACACATGCAAGAGAGGACACATCGGCTGTACCCCTTTGTGGTTTGGGTCTGGTAAAACCTTCGCCTCCCCCGCCTTTAATTTAAAATGGTCGATTAACCTTTTCCTTTGCATCTTAGCGCAACAAACAACGTGGACTGTTAATAAAAGACGTCACGGCGTGAACGTAGGTATAAGCAGTCGTGCGCAGAACTGTCGCCTTGTTTTTAACACACACCCACGCGGCCACTCATTTTTTCTCCCGTTGCTTTGGTCGTCTCCTTTTCACTCCGTCCATCTTCAGTTGAGTTTACCTGCTGATGCGCCCAATAGACGCAAGAACTTCTGACAAGATTGTCGCTGCGTAATTATAGTAAACATTCAACAGGCCAATCCGTCTATTGCCGGTTGTTTATTTATTCCGTCCACGGTCCCTCCAAAAATATTTCCCACGTATCCATCTGTGCCCTTGACGTGATACTAAAATAAACGCAATATATTTGGAGAATTTTACGTTGTTTGGTGTGCCGGCTATCATGGTCACTGGCTAGGCGGACGAACGGAGCGAAGTTTTACATCTCTGAACAATTTGCACACGGGCCTCGTAAATAACTGAGCGCCGTGTTTAACTTTATTCTGAAGCGAGTTCATATACACGAGCGAATGAATCACACAGCAGTCTTTCGCGCCGTAACTTGTGACGTTCTGATGTTTAACGCGATCATGATCGCATACGGGCGAATCAAAGTGCCAAACAAAAGCTTTAAATAGTACCTTTCAAGGCGTTGATTATTCTGAGAAAAGCGGTATGTTGAGAGAAAAACTGTGAGGAAAACATCGAACCGATGTTAGCACCAACAAATAAAGTTATTATTGCCGGGTTTGAATTTGTTTCTATCGGACTTGCATCTCTCTGTGTTTACAGCTGCGATGAACCAAGAATAATGCGTAGGATTTTTGCGGGAGTCAGGAACGTTGCTTTTGGTTTTTAATACTATGGCCAGGTCCCAGAACAAGCCCAAAACGTGATACGGTTGCCAAACGAATTTTCACAATTCAAGAAACTTCTTAAAACATAGAAGTTGCCAAGTAAAGTAAAGTGTTACGAAACAGGTCACGGCGCAGTGGCGTAGCCCCCAGGTGCCCCCCCCAACTGAAAAAAAAAACAAAAACAAAAAACAAAAAAAACAACAGCAACGGATGAATGGTTATTGAATAAGGCTAACAAAAACTTGCCTCCAAAAAACCACACCACTGAAAGCTGGTGCCCCCCCCTAAGATGCTGGTGCTCCCTTTGTGCCCCTCGGTAAAATCCTCGGTACGCCACTGTTACGGCATAAATATAACTACAATGCTCAAGACTGATTCTACAGTTTAATGCGGAACAAGGAAAAAACTGAGCGGTATTTTACAATGAGAAACTCTAAGAAATGGGACCAATTTTGCTGTCTTGCAAAAAAGTTGCCCGCTGGCTACAACGCATTTTCTTCCCAGTACAACAGGTACGAAACATTTCAAGGCTAAAAGCACACCTATAGCGAAACACAATCATGACGTACTCACCACATGCCGTCAATCGGAAATTCTTAACTTATCAAACCCATGCATCTTCTTAACGTTATCAAACCCATGCATCTTTGACCAATACATTGCCAATTTCAACATAATGACCGAGATTATCGGCAGAATGGACACAATATCGAGGGCAGGGATCTAACCGATAAATCCACGGGAGCAAGAAGGGAAGGACAGAATATTGAAGGAATATACAAAGGTTCCAGGGGTACACAGAACTCCACAAACCAAAATTGGGCACCGGTCCTACAGATAGCGCGCCAGTCTTAATCAACGCGAATAAAAATGGGATGGTTTTGGGCGAGCACTTCGAGTATAACAGTCATCTCTTGGGTTGTGGTGTATTTCTTGAGCTTGCTTAAAAAGCGAAACATTAACACAACACCGACAAAGACAAACAAAGCTATGGACTGGTGGCTAGTCTAGCGCTGTCCTTCATCGAGATGATTGAACTCGACGAACCACGTGGCAAATCAATCTGCCCGCCAAAAAAGGGAACCAAATAAGAACACCAGCACTACGGTACTCGACGGAGAAGGAGCGTGCCGGTGACTGGAACAAAAACAAATGAAGGAAAGGTCCAGGGGGACCTCTGGTGACGGATGACAGGTGTGACGAAGGATAGGGGGGGGTTGCAATGACGGACAACAGAGGGCGTGAACGATAACATTTCAGACAGCGTCATTGGTGGACCAGTAGGACAGTGGGCGTGCTGTTTGACGTCACTTTGGCAACGAGACAGAAACTGAGGAAATATTCATTGCTGTATAGAATCCTGAATGGCCACCATGGTTTGGAAACGGCCTGAACTACAATGAGTAGTTTGAGTCAATGCAAAGTTGGGCCTACTACTGGCTGTTTTGAAGTCAGATTAAACGACCTGCACCGATTTATGAAATGGACAAAGTTTTTGAACCGTCGATGTTGTCAAATAAAATTTCGACAGTCCAGCTCAGACTTTTGTCCCCAACACGCACCTGCCTGTTCTCATACTGTGCACTGAGACATGCGCGGTGTGCGCTTTGGCCCCGTTTTTCAGGGACTCCAAATTTAACGCAACACTGGTGCCATTCTTCAACACGGTCAAGGTATCACAGCCAACAGATCTTTCAAGAGAGTCATCAAACCTACCGCTTGCACGTGCTTTTCCGGTTGCGAGATCCCTACAACCATTCCAGCAATCCACGATGCGGACTTCAAGAGCCTCACATCAATCTTGAACAAGTGCAGCGAACCCACAATGCGCTGGTGGATGGAGCTAGCATACGCGTGCAGCTAGTTGGTAGCCCATACCTACCAAGGCCTCATGTCATTCGCGACTACTTTGCTTGCAGTGGTCGCCAGTCCTGCGAACCAAAAACGCTGCTGGTTGAAAATTCCCTCACAGTCCAAAAATCATAACAGCTTGTGCTCT